TAGTTAGTTGATTTGTCAATTAGGGCCATTCCATTGTCATTCCGTTTCCCTGGTGATATTAATTATAATTAGTTAGTTGATTTGTCAATTAGGGCCATGCCAATGTCATTTCACTCCCCTGATGATATTAATTATAACTAGTTAGTTGATTTGTCAATTAGGGCCATTCCATTGTCATTCCGTTTCCGTGGTGATATTAATTATAATTAGTTAGTTGATTTTGTTAATTAGGGTCATTCCATTGTCATTCCATTGTCATTCCATTCCCCTGGTGATATTAATTATAAATTAGTTATTAATTTTGTCATGTTGGGCCATTCTAATGTCATTCCATTCCCCTGATGATATTAATTATAATTAGTTAGTTGATTTTGTTAATTAGGGTCATTCCATTGTCATTCCATTGTCATTCCATTCCCCTGGTGATATTAATTATAATTAGTGAGTTGATTTGTCAATTAGGGCCATTCCATTGTCATTCAGTTTCCCTGGTGATATTAATTATAATTAGTGAGTTGATTTGTCAATTAGGGCCATTCTAATGTCATTCAATTCCCCTGATGATATTAATTATAATTAGTTAGTTGATTTGTCAATTAGGGCCATTCCAATGTCATTTCACTCCCCTGATGATATTAATTATAATTGGTTAGTTGATTTGTCAATTAGGGCCATTCCATTGTCATTCCGTTTCCCTGGTGATATTAATTATAACTAGTTAGTTGATTTGTCAATTAGGGCCATTCTATTGTCATTCCATTCCCCTGATGATATTAAATATAATTAGTTAGTTGATTTTGTTAATTAGGGCCATTCCATTGTCATTCAATTCCCCTGATGATATTAATTATAATTGGTTAGTTGATTTTGTCAATTAGGGCCATTCCAATGTCATTCCATTCCCCTGATGATATTAATTATAATTAGTTCGTTGATTTTGTTAATTAGGGCCATTCCATTGTCATTCCATTCCCCTGGTGATATTAATTATAATTAGTTAGTTGATTTGTCAATTAGGGCCATTCCATTGCCATTCCGTTTCCCTGGTGATATTAATTATAACTAGTTAGTTGATTTGTCAATTAGGGCCATTCCATTTACATTCCGTTTCCCTGGTGATATTAATTATAATTAGTTAGTTAGTTAGTTGATTTGTCAATTAGGGCCATTCCATTTACATTCCGTTTCCCTGGTGATATTAATTATAACTAGTTAGTTGATTTGTCAATTAGGGCCATTCTATTGTCATTCCATTCCCCTGATGATATTAAATATAATTAGTTAGTTGATTTTGTTAATTAGGGCCATTCCATTGTCATTCAATTCCCCTGATGATATTAATTATAATTGGTTAGTTGATTTGTCAATTAGGGCCATTCCATTTACATTCCGTTTCCCTGGTGATATTAATTATAATTAGTTAGTTGATTTGTCAATTAGGGACATTCCAATGTCATTTCACTCCCCTGATGATATTAATTATAATTGGTTAGTTGATTTGTCAATTAGGGCCATTCCATTGTCATTCCGTTTCCCTGGTGATATTAATTATAATTAGTGAGTTGATTTGTCAATTAGGGCCATTCCAATGTCATTTCACTCCCCTGATGATATTAATTATAATTGGTTAGTTGATTTTGTCAATTAGGGCCATTCCAATGTCATTCAATTCCCCTGATGATATTTATTATAATTGGTTAGTTGATTTTGTCAATTAGGGCCATTCCAATGTCATTCCATTCCCCTGATGATATTAATTATAATTAGTTAGTTGATTTTGTCAATTAGGGCCATTCCATTGTCATTCCATTCCCCTGGTGATATGAATTATATTTGGTTAGTTGATTTTTGTCATGTTGGGCCATTCCATTGTCATTTCATTTCCTTGGTGATATAATTTATAATTGGTTAGTTGATTTTGTCAATTCGCGCCCTGGTCATTCCATACCCCTGATGAAATATATCACAATTGTTTAGTAACTTGTGTTTATTCCGTCAAATGTCATTTCATTCTTTGATGCATCATTAAAAAAAAGCTAACTATAAGGACGCGGACCCGCTTCGTTTGTATTGGATTACCATTTCTCAGTACCATTAAATCAGAGGTAGTTCTGAAATAACTCATTCTTAAATCTCCCCGCCAAAAAAACGTACATAACTTGTTCAAATCAATTAATTGGTAATACTACGTAAATAGTTACGCACTTTTAATTTTAAAAGTGTTGGTAGTCTACATTTCTACTTCGGTGGGAGTCATCAACCATTCTTCAGCATGGTAAATCAAATTGATTTAGACAAAATGGTAGATATCTTAAGGTATATCTCTCTTTGATAAGACAGCGTCAGTGACCTCATTTTATTAGTAAATTATCGTTCCTTTACAATTATTGACAATGACTATATTCAATTTATTTCAAACTTCAATAGTTCTCAAGGTGTTTGTTTTTAATAATTCATCTATCTTTACGATACGTAAAAGTTCTCACTTATTAATTCAATGCTTGTTAAGGAAGTGTTGCTTCAATGCTATGAAAACAGGTATATGTTTGTTTACGTGTGTGTGTGCATGTGTGTCCGCGAGTGCGTGCGTCCAAATGGAGGTACACAACGCGAAGTACACAAGGAGAGGTATACAAAGCGGTGTAAACAAAGTGAGGTATTCATAGCCATGTACACAAGGCGAGACACACAAGGTGAGATATACAAAGTGAAGGTGCACGAGGCGAGATATACAAAGCGAGGTACACAAAGAGAGGTATACAAGGCAAGGTACACAAGGCGAGGCACACAAGGTGGGATATACAAAGCGAGGTACACAAGGCGAGATATACAAAGCGAGGTACACAAGGCGAGGTATACAAGGCGATTAAGTAATTCAATTTAGGTTAGCAGTATCAGTATTGGGTAGCAGTTTGATAGTATGCACATATCAGCCCTGACTGACCCCCCGGGGCTGATGGGTGGAGCCAAAAAGGGTTTAATTGACTGAAATTTCAAAAATCTTCTTCTCAAGACCCAGATATGGTTGATTCAAATACTCCCTATAGATGGAAGGGTTTAAGGTGCTTTACCAAAATTGTGAATTTCATGACCCTTGGGTCTCACGTTTTCCCCTGGGGAGTGGGTAAATTTTACTATAGTTTATTTAGGGAAATCACCTTTTGGACCAACATTTGTTTAATTGCCATTGGAAGTAATTCAATTTGGGTTAGCATTATCCGTATTGGATAGCAGTTTGATGGTATACACATATCATCCCTGACTGACCCCCCGGGGCTGATGGGTGGGGCCAAAAAGGGTTGAATTGACTGAAATTTCAAAAATCTTCTTCTCAAGACCCAGATATGGTAGAATCAAATACTCTTCATAAATGGAAGGGTCTTAAGGTGCTTTACCAAAATTGTAAATTTCATGACCCTGGGGTCTCGCGCTTCCCCCTGGGAAAGGAGGGGGTGGGCAAAATGTGTTATGGTTTATAATGGCAAATGATACTTTGAATATTACATGTTGATAACTTGATTTGAATTATAACCCTATTTTGAGTCATCCCTATCCCCAAGGGCTGCAGGGTGGGGCCCAATGGAGTCTGTGTGCTAAAATAAAAGTTCTTCATTTTCCATGTTTAGAATCAGAGGTGCTAGTTTCAAATACTTTTCAGTCTTAAATCTGCATGCTAGATATTGAATGAGGTGGTTTTATTGTTTTTTGTCACTTTGAATAATATTTCTGTTCATGTTAAAAACAAAAATCAACTCTCCGTATACATATATCAGGTGACCGTTAAGGCCCATGGGCCTCTTGTTTGTTTAAAAAAAAAAACACTACAAAAACAGCTGGAGAGGTTTCCCGTTAAAGGGGATTTAATTTTGTTTTACCTGAACATGGTAACCCAATTTGGGGAAGGGGACAATAAAAAAAAATAGGTATCACATGTAATAAACACGTTTCGGTCTAAGAAATAAGTCTTTTTCTAAGAATCAACTCTCATCGCCATACAGTTGCAAACGGATTTCATTTTATACACCATTCAGTGTTTTTTGGTTCCTATGCACCTGCTGTGTATTATGATCTAGATTTTAGTATCGCTATTATTAGAGCAAAACACATGATGTAATATGTCGCTACCTAAATAAATATTATTCTCTCGTCTTTTTCCTTTTTCTTCTCGACGATGCCTTCATTGCATTTACGAAAAAAAGAAACCTTCAGTAAAACCCTTTGTTTTCTATCAGTAAGACCCTTTGTTTTCCATCAGTAAAACCCTTTGTTGTCCATCAGTAAAACCCTTTGTTTTCTATCAGTAAAACCTTTTGTTTTCTATCAGTAAGATAATCTTCAAGCCATCGAAGAAGTTTGCCTGGTATACCATGTTCACCTTATTTATTTATAAGGCATACATACACACAAACATATTTGAGACTATGCTTTAAATACACATACACATACATGTAATGTGCTTTATCATCATCTAATTGTGAAGGTAATTAGCCTACGTGACAACCCATGTAAAGTTTAAACTAGGTCAGATAGTCAGCCCTGTCATCGATTAGCTAGAGCAGAGTACAAGCGTGTTATGTTATTACCTAAAAATAGATTTTAAACATAACATGCTTTGCAAGTTATATTTTTGGAATAAAGATGAATATACCGATTACATAAGGTTATACATTTGTGCTTCCACGGGGAATTATTATGACGCATACATTGTCCACGTAATCTCCTTCCGTGGTAACCCTAGATATTTTCCTGCTGTCAAATGTTTTATGCAGACGGTCAATGTACATTTAACGTAAAGCTTCCTGTTATTACCTAAAAATAGATTTAACTTTGAAAGTTGTATTTTTAGAATTAACACGAATGTACCTATTACAATGTAGATAAGGTTTATTATGACGCATAAATTTTCCACTAAATTCTTTCGTTGTAACCCTAGATATTATCCTGCCGTAAAACATTTATGCAGACGGTTGTTGTGCGTTCAGTGTGCGCTCGAAGTAAAGCTTCCTTGTTGATCAACAAAATATGAGTAAACACAATGCGTTCTACTATCGCCTTAGACGTGTATTTCAAGCGAGTGTTGTCGTTAACATTGTTTTGGTGATCACCATTGTAGTTTTATATATCGTAAGTCATACACTACGTCAACGGGATGTTCAATCATGTGTCACCACATCACTCAGGAAAGACCCTCGGACAGACACCGCTGGACAGATCTGCCTGACCTGTGACTTCCAAGGACACGACACAAGCGACACCTTGTATGAATTTATAGTAAAAACTGATCACAATGATTCACTCTGTTGTCTGCAGCGCGATGGTGACCTCCAGAACCTTATTCTTGAGGTGAGTCGACTGACTGTCACAATAATGAATGTCTTAAACTCATCAAGGTAATAGAAGACGTTTATTGAGATTTTTTATCATGATTCGTTAGATTATTACTTTTTGATTGTGACAACATTGACTTTGCTTTAAAATGTATACGGAAAAAATATTTATTTTTGGTAATGTTGTTGTGTGATTTTACAACATACAGTGATATTGCTAACAAACTTTATTCAGTTTATTAGCATCGGCAATGCGTGCTAAAGAACAAAACAATGAATGCTGAAATGGTCATTGCTGAAATAGACACGTTTTCTGTTGTAGCTGGTGGAGGAAAACAGACACAACTGGCACACTAATCCGGTAAATAGTAAGTTATACCATTACACTATTACTCATAAGTATTTCCTTATATTTAAAAAGCAGAATTGTTGGTTAAAAATTACTCTCACCATGTTTTTCCACTTTTTCCTTAACATTGATTTTCAAAGTCTTGAACTGTGCAAAGTTACAATTTAAAAATTGGCACTCTTTGCATTGTGCTGATCTATGTCATACATGTATCCGTCATTTATGTTCCGTAATTTGTGTTTAAATTTTACCAAGAACACAAACATCCTTCAGCTACTAAACAACTGTAAAAACAAATTTACAAAAGTTATCTGATCACTTTTAATAAGAAAAAGTTTGTCATAAACAATGGCAACTCATAACTATTGTTTATCGTGTTTTAATGTGTGACAAAATAGTTTAAGCTTGTTTTATTTATTTAAAATAAATGAAAACAAACTAGCTTTAGGAAGACGAACATGACTGAAGACATTTGCTGCTGAACATGAAAATTCAAACAAAAATCTTTTTCAACGTTAAAACATTTGTTCACACAAGGAATGAATTAAAGTTTTAAAAAAACTTGAACCACAAAAGGAGTCTAATTAAAAAAAAAAGGCTCAGACTGTATGACGCGGTTCTGTAATGTTTGTAATTTTCAAAAGGATTGATATTAATTCAAATTGCGAATGGTAAAACAGAAGCGTAGATCTAGAACTAAATATATATTTTCTGTCTGTTCAGACATATCGGGGAAACTACGATGGTGGATAGAGAGAAACCATGCAGCACACCTGTACCCTAGTGGCTTCTCAAATGGCCAAAGTGAGTAATAACATTTCTTATCAAAAGAGAATGTATTGTAAACTGCAAAATGAAAAAGGAACATTAAGCCGACACGAGGTTTCAGTTATAATTTTCAACAAACAAACAAATTGTATACAAGCTTTGATACTAAATCGTAAATCGTTTCTTTTTTTCTTTTTACAATCCTTATCTTGGAATAAACTGGGCAGAAAAACATCATTGTTACAAAATCTGACTTTGAGTGATGACGGAAGGAAGATCACTGTTCCCAAGAAACCAGGCGCTGGAATGTATTTCGTCTATGCGCATCACACTTTCGATTTCAGCAAAGCAGCGACCAATAGACCATCGCCCATAGGAGTCCACAACATCTACAAGCACCGGTTGGGACTCATAAACGGGGCTCCCAAGCGTCTATGGACGGCAAAGTTCGGTGGAGAACATACTTCGAAAAGGCAAACGAACTTCCTATGTGGTGTTGTTAGAATGAATATGCTGGACTCAATAGAATCTCAGGTGTGCTCGTATGTGCCAGGGGAGAACTGTACTATGAAGCATGTTGACAGATCTCCTTATGCTAACTATTTTGGCATGTTTAAACTCGTCGAGTTGTTTTGAGTAAAGTACTCATGTTGCACTAGTGTATAATTCAACTGAAGAGATGTATTGAAAATAAAATATTCGGTTTGTTAATATTTGTCCTAATTTTTCGCAATGGCACTTTTGGTATCATGTTCGATTATTAAAATCACTCAATTTTCGTCAGATATATGATTTTCGTTAAACTAAGGTGATATTCGGTGACAAATTTTAATTTGATAGCGTTTATTATGAATAAATTTAAGGATCCCTATTCCTCTGAAGGATACAACTAGAGAATTTCACTGTAGATGTTCGTACATATAGTAACCTCCCTTTAATTTTATTCATAACTATGGCGGAACTGTGCCATAGTTATACTAAAGAAATTTTTTTTGGTCTCGCGCGCATGCGCTAGCTAGCCTATAGATATCACCAGGATGTTGTTAAAACAAACGTTCCAATCGTATTTCAGTAGTTATAGAAAATTGAGCTCATTTCAAAGTATCATATTATCTAGATCAAAATGCTGCCGGATTAACAATATTATTCTGATCTTAAGATGTTAATGAAATTGCGGTCCTACGTTTTCTATGAACAGTTACAGCCTGTGAAAACAAGAGATGCCGTTTTGATAAAGACATTAATAAGTTGACAGTGCTAACAACAAAAGTGAAACATTATCAGTGTTGGGATGGGGAAAATGCTCCATTGATAAAGACATTAAGATGACAATGCTGACATTGGGATTAGTGCTGACATAACCGTGCGGCAGTTGTTGATAACATTTAATGTAAATTTGACACCAAGTCTAAAACTTTTAAAAGAAATGTGTCCGTAATACACGAATTAGTCTACACTAACGGTAATGTGATTGCTAATATGCACCGAGTCCTAAAAAATGACAATAATTTCATGATGGAATGTTCGATCATAAATATTAAAGAGGTTTTTTTTGTAAAATGCTAATTTTGCATGCACACATATGTTATTAAAACGTCTATAAATAGGAGGATTGGGGAAACATACCATGTATTGCGAGACTGGAGTAACCGGATATGTGCAAATGGTAGGAGTTAGTAAAATGTCCTTGATCAACGGAAGACTACACGAAAAAGAAAATAATTAAAACCAAATCACATAATATATATAATCTGTAGTCATGCCAAAGTAAAAGTTATTTTAGAAAATTAAAATTAAATAATGTCAGCAATGGTACAGGGATCCTTCACTAGTGAATATGTGTTTGTTCGAGAGATGCAGGCTGATGAAAATAGGCAGATGTATTGCCATCAACTTAAATGCTATTTGTAAAAAACATTCCTTTGTCAACACTTTGGCCTGTTTCATTTATTTATATTTCGAATAAGGGTTTTGTTTTCGCTTCAATATTTTACTAGTTTCCATTCCTGATGCCTCCGGAATATATTAATATAATCTCAACTTCAAACCTCCTTTTGGGGCCAAATCACTGAAGCACAGTATCTTGATTGACGAACAAAAGCTTATTATCTACTGTTGACATGGCGGTTCCTTTCCTGCTATTTTAATCTGTCTACCTCCGGTAACTATTGATGGTACACCCACATCGACCGTTATGGTGCAGTGTGGAAATGTATCTTGGAATTTGGTGGAAAATTTGAAGGTAGATTATCTTAATGCAAATTTCATAAAGAAAGAGAGACTGCTGTATTGTCCAATGTACATTTATTGACGTTCAGACTAGTTTTAAATAACATTACACACCTTTGGTGGATTTAGCCATTTTTTTAATGTAAAGTTCCACTTTTCCTTACCTTAAATTGCAAAGTAAGTAAATTTAAATACATTTGAAGTCTTGACAGTTAAGTACCGGTCATATTTCATGTTTGTCGTAATTCCGTGCATGTTTAGGGAATTAATAGACTTGTTGTTCCCCACTGCATGTAATGGAAAAGGATGAGTAATGCTGAATCTATGGTTCTCTTCAATATTTTCTGCTTTTTTGGGAATTGAATTAATTGTCTGGCAAATTTAAAGGAACCCCTATGTCTATCCCCTCGGCGATGCCTTGTTAGTCACCTGTCTTTCAATTGAAATCGGACTTTGCAAGCACATTAAACACCGAGAAAAACAAAAGCAAAAGAAACATAATTATTATGAATATAATAACAGTTTAGGGAATTTCGGAACTTATAAACACGTTTTGGCCTTAGATATGTATCTTTTTCTAAGAAACGGCTCTCAATGCCATTCAGCGATACATTTTTCCACTTAGATAATATTTGCTTCCAATGCACCAGGGACCCAGTTGTTTAAAACGTGATTAGCTTAATCAGTGATTGGCGCAAAGTTTAATTTGTGTGTCACTCTAAAACAAAACTATTGAATTAGATACAACTTTCCATATATCAAATATTTAGTGAATTCACATGTGAGATTTTACCTTAAAAATTGACGAAGTTATCAAAGGTTGAAAAATGTCGTTAAACAGTGATTAAGCTTACCTCCTTTTAAACAAGTGGGCCCAGGTGTGTATTCATCATAATCAAAATGTAAAGGTTACATTCATAACGTAATATATCACTCGCTAAATATAGACTATTGTGTCGTCTTTATTTGTGGACAAATGACAAAACACTATCGAACAGCTTTTTCGTTATTGTGAATTTTCATGTTCAGTACATTTCCATTACAAAACGAAATGCCCTTGAATGAAGAAACAGTTTGAATTATACATATATTTGTATTTAAACAAGGAATTGATATGACATGTAATCTCGACAAAATCTTAGAGCGTGTCGAACCGATACACGTTAGCAGTGATTAAACTGATATTTACAATTTACAAATACATCGGACTACTTACTATACATTTGATATTGAATACATTTCATCATAAATGTCAAAAACTATCATTAAATAGTGAAGAACATTATAGCACAATAACAACAAAGGTCACGCATGAGTGGACCGCACCGATAACCACAAGACTTGACCGATAACGTACAAGGTATACCGCAACAATACCCAAGATATATAGTTACAGAAACAGAAGATATATAAGACACTCACCACAGACTGTCTTTTGTGCTTATATCCACACTGGAATATCTTATAATTCAAACGGGTGGGTAGAGACGATAAGCCAACACTAGCTCTATCTGTATAGTGATTATTTCACGAAACAAAAAAAAAATCGGCTGGACAATTTACGTTTAAAGACATCGTAGTTGCAAACGTCAAGTTCATAAAATAGGTGTATCCACGCAAAGGCATAAGTAGGCGGGCCATATATTATTATTTGCTTAGTGTGTATATATTAACCACCCACGACTCCCTTTATCGCAATCGGCCTGAGTGTCTAAATGAAAAAAAGGGCATTTGATATTACTACCTTACGGAGCCCGTTAACTGACATGCTACACACTTATTTTATTTCGTTTTATCGAATTATTATTTCGTTTAAACGAATTATTATTTCGTTTAAACGAATTATTATTTCGTTTTTTCGAAATATTATTTCGTTAAAACGAATTATTATTTCGTTTTTTCGAAATATTATTTCGTTTTTTCGAAATATTATTTCGTTAAAACGAATGACTATTTCGTTTTATCGAAATATTATTTCGTTTTATCGAATTATTATTTCGTTTTATCGAATTATTATTTCGTTTTAACGAATTATTATTTCGTTTTTTCGAAATATTATTTCGTTTAAATGAATTATTATTTCGTTAAAACGAAATAATATTGACGGCGTCTTCGGAACTCTTCTGCTGCGAAAACAACTAAAGCTATTACACCTTGCTTGATCAGGGACGGACGGACGGAGTCCTTTGCAGGTAAAGTTGATATTAAGTATGTAAACTTGTACGAAATGTATATAGATGTGAACTAGGCCTACAGTGCTTGTAAGTTTTGTGCTTTTCAGAAATCGTTTAGATATTAACCAATGACCAGGTCTTTTTATGAATATTTCACTTGATCAACCCTAATTTTCTCGACAAGCTATTCACTAATTCAGTACAATAGGCTAGGCCTACTGGCCGTTTTCGTTTATCGCATTCCAAACGGTTTGACCAGATTTGTTCGGTTTATGAAATATCGACAGACCTAGTAATTTGATGTTATTTTATGTCAAGTCTTGACAGAGATTTTCAAGGCCTGTATTGCCATTTGCAGGTCCGTCAGGTCGTATCCCTGAAATGATCAAGTCTAGAACAGGCCCCGCGCCGGTATTCGGATGATTTTGTTGTGTCTAATACGGATGACTGCTGTCTTTGTGTACCGATAAACTCAATATCATTGTTCTTCAGGTTAAATCTACCACTGAACGAGTTATAAAGGCAAAGAATAGTTTCACTTTTTGTTTTTACATTTGGAGTATTCTCCCTTCTATATAGAAGATGAAGCATTTTTTTCTGACTCTGTGTAACTTCCACTGTCAGGATTTTCATACATTTTTTGGCCAATAACTGGACACTCTTTAAGATGAAATGCTTTAATTCTTAGATGGCAACATTGATAGTGCAAGCTTTGAAATATAAAGGTTCTAAGTTTGTTTGAATCTTCAAATGCTGAAAATTTCAATTTTTAACAGGTTTTTTTATTCCATAAATTGTATTTTAACATGCATATATGTGATGTACCATGAATACTTGAAAAGAGTTTAAAACATATCTTTCAATATTGGCAATGCTTACAACTAATTACCCTTTCCTAGCAGACACACCCTGTCTCATCTGGATTTACCTCACCAACACACTAATCCGAAGAAAACAAATCAGAAACCA